CCCACAGAAAGTAATAAGAATAACGATAACGACGAAATTAACAGTGATAGCATTCTTGAAGAATTCAAATTAGCCCGTAGTAAAAAAGCAGCACAAATTAGCAGCAAGAAGGATGATAAAGGCAAGGGCAAGGCATGCGAAGACAGTTCTTTTTCTCCGCCGCCACCGCAGTCATCACCCCAAACACGTCAATATAATAAATTTCTTCAGGAAGAATACGACGAGTACTTGGCGCATGCTATTGCTGCGGCTGAACGCAATACCACCGAATTGTCAATGTCGTCACTGACTGTATTCGGAGGAAGCCATGATGAGAGTTCAGACGGCGCGTCAAGCTCGAAGAAACAAATTGAAGAAATACCGAAATTTGAGTTAATTCGAGAGTATTTGAACAAGACAGAATTTTGTGATTTCGAAATGTATATGAATAGCAACAATTATGATGATAATGTTGACGATAATAATAGTAGTAGTAGTAGTACTAATAATAATAATAATAATAATGGTGATGATGGAATTGGTGATGATGGAATTATTGACGAGAATATGGAAAATAAAGAAACTAATTATAATATCGGAGAAAATAACAATGATAGCAATGATTGCGATATAGAGAGTATTCAGGAAACTATGCCAAAAGAAACCGAGCAAGACGCGTCAGAGGTAATTGAAACACCGTTACAACCAAAACCTTCAACATCATCATCAACCATACCAGAAGACGGAAGTGAGACGCGCAATATTGAAACAGTCAATTCATCATCAAATCCCACCGCAACTTCAAAATCATCATCATCAAAAGCCAGAGGAAAGCAAAATAACAACGACAACAACAAGGAATCAAAGAAAAGTCGAAAAAGAAAGAATACCTTTGATATTCCAATTTCAGACCGTTTACCACCTCGTCGTCGTAAAAAAAAAGTCACGAATGTTGTTGAATATGGTGACGAACAGCTCTTACCTTCGAGTGATGCTGACGATTGCGAAGATCAGAAAAAAAGAAATTTGACAAAAAGAACGCCTAAAAATATACGACAAACTAAAAAACTGAAAGGAAAGAAAGGCAAAGAGAAAGCATCTTCCGACATGGATAACGACGAGGGCGATAATAAAGATGACGAAGATGAGGAACATATGAATGATATTCAAAAGGAGGTAATAAATAAATGTATTATCAATCATATTTCTTTAGTTCTAATTATTGAATCACATGTCATTAGATGTTAAGACACGAACGTGAACAAAGGCTGCGTTATTTCCAAGAGGTAGATAATTATGTTCTGCCAATTGAATATGTGGAAGTTATTCATGATGAGAAAGAGCACCAAGAGCAGCAAGAACAACTATCCATCGCGTCTGGCAGCAATTCTTGATAGAATTAAATAAATGAATGAAAATTTATTGCATTCTTGTTACATTAAATAATGATAATAATAATAAATAATGATTTGGCTTTCACTCAATTTGTTCTATTAATAATATTTTTTTTAAGTGAAAATATGTATTTTTGTCTAGATGTTTCGACTATATAGCGAAAAGGATCCTAATAATATTTTATGAGAAATGCCTTCACAAAAAGAATATATAATGAAATGTAAAAAAAAAGGAAATCCGAATAAAAATAAAAGGGCAAAAAAAGTACCTACAAGAAAAAACTAAAAAAGGAAGGGGTATTCATGTAAATTAGGTACAAAGAAGAGGAAGAAAAATATTTACTTTATAATGACAATGTATAAAATTCCACAATAGCTAGATTTCGGATAGTTTTGTGTGTCATTGGTCAAATATTTTGCGATACTAATACAATGGCAATGCTAGTGACGAGACAGGAACTTTGATAATAATAAAATGTAGATTTAGCGATAAAATCTCGCAAATCATAATAAGACGATTCTAAAATTATAAAAGAAATCGAATTTATATAGAGGGATATTAAAATCTAATGAATAGTAATAATATAATGAGGAAGAATTATTATCAAATACGTGAAATTACAAAGTATATATTGTATGTATATTTTTGTACTGATAAAAAAGAATGAATATAAGTAATTGATATTGTTACTAATGATTTAAGCTTTAAAAAATCATGTGACTACGGCCGTCCAATAGCATCATTACCACCATATTGAGTGCCGTTTATAAAGTAAATAGAGAAAAAAGTGAATTTTGTAGTAGGGTATTTTATGTGTATTTTATATGCAAGACAAAAAAATTGGGTTTTGAAAAAAATTACCTACAAGAAAGTGTTTGGCACCTAATTAATTGATTGATGACCATTATGCAATTTTATTTTCGTGCATCATATATGAATATTTATAGGAGAAATAGAGAGGGGAGGATTCAATTGGAAATAATTTTAATTCTTGTTATCATGCAAGTGGGGGAGAATTCAATTAGGAAGAATAGGATGTGAGAATGATGTCTACTCCAAATTAGCGAAATCGTCATCGATTTCATTTACGTCATCCGTCGCTTCAACATTTTCAATTTCGGATTCTTCGGTGTCACCCTGGTGAAGTATCCTGGCATCAGATTCCCCGGTATTACGTCCTTTACTGGTTTTACTTGCACTGCCGGTTGAACCACTAGAAGTGAGACCTCTTGGCGCATTGCCACATCGATCTTTTCCATAATTAATACGGAATTTTCTGTACTCTTCTTTTGCTTTGATTCCTTCTATAGCTTTAATGGCATACACTATCGAAGTGAAATTGACAAAGCCACAACTTTTCTCCTTGAGGATATTCACTAGTTCGATTTCTCCAAATTCGGAGAAGTCGCGTCGCAATTTCTCTTCAGTAATAGAATCATCCAACGACCCGACATACACATTACGTGATGCATTTTGTGTGTTGACAGCCAATTGAATATTTCCAGGTAACGGGCCAGAATTTTTTCCCCATCCTACTTTGAGGCGTCGATTCTTGATCACAACTCCTTGATGCTGTGCTAAGAACATAAAGTTATTGGCGGCTGTTGGGTCAACAAAGGTGACAAAGGCGATATGTTTGTCGGCCATATAACGGATCTGGTGAAGAATTCCACCGCGAATGACATTACAGATCTCTTCACAAGTGGTATCTTGATGAATATTTCCAAGGTATATAGTACGGTTACCAACTTGTGATCCGGAAGTTGTACTTCCTGCCGCGGAAGATGCCGATGAAAACAGTGGACTGGTAGGACTACGTAGTTCACTTCCATTTTCAAGATGAGTGCTTGCAGCCGCAGCTACAACTTGGTATGGATCAAAAGCAGCAAATCCCATTGCACCAGCATTACCGAATGTTTGAAATCCAATTGTGCCACTAGGAGTAAAAGTGAACTGAGATGTAGTTCCATTTCCTGATGTTGGTCTAACGGCACATCTATCTTTTCCGTAGTTAACCTTTTTGTTTGCATACTTGGATTCTTGTGGTAATGTCTGGACAGCCTTGATGGCACTAGTAATAGTCAAAAAATGAACAAATCCGATGTTTTTCTCTCGCACAATTTTTACCGTTTCAATAGTACCAAATTTTCCCAAATCATCCCGCAATACTTGTTCAGTGATTGAATCATCCAGATTTCCCAAATACACGTTACGTGATGCATTTTGAGTACTTACAGCGACTTGCACATTCGGTGGAACGGGAGAAGGTTTTCCCCAGCCAACTTTTAGTTCTTGGCCATGAATCATCAACTTTCTCGTCGAGGCATCGTGATAGAATGCTGCAGCTGCAGTACCATCCATGAAAGAAATGAATGCGCAATTTTTTTCGGGAAGTATACGAACTGATTCTATAGGGCCGACTTTTACTTGATTCAAAATCTCATCGGCCGGTACATCTGTTGGTATATTTCCAAGATAGACAGTCCGTCCCGTGGAGTTAGTAACCGAGGAAAGTGCAGCGGCTGCCGCAGCTTGTGGATATGCACTGGGAAACTGTGCACTAGAGAACGCGCCAGAGAATTGCGGAACCATATTACTAACACCAGGATTATACTGGCTCATACCAGCTGCGTATTGTGATGCGCCTTGATGATATCCACCCATTCCAGCAAATCCACTTTGCGCGGGATGAAAACCGGCAGCACTTTGCGTATAAGAATGATTAGCAGCCATCATCATTGCCGAGGGACCTACAGGAGGAAATTGATGACTATACAGATCGCCCGATGCAGTCGCTTGACCAAGTTCACTTCGCATACCACTATTGGCCAACGCGTAGCTATTGTAGCTTTGTCCGAACCGTGGCTTCTTGATATTTTCGTGTTGATTACCGTAATCGCTACTGCGTTTCATGATGATGATGATTATGTTGGATTATTGAGCTTCAGTATATGTTTGTGTAGTATGTGAAAAACTTGAGGCTTCGAGAATCTGTATATACATGATACATATATATATTTATATATTAATCAGAGCCAGCACTTTTAGGAACGTCGTCGTTTTGTTAGAGCTTTGAAACACACACACACACACATATTATTATATATATTAGTTGTTGATGATGATGTTTGTTATCAAAGCGATTTTTGTTATGTCAGCTAGCTAATTCGCTTTCTTATTTTTTCTTCTTTCAGTTAGTCTTGACAGAAATATTATGTAATAAAAAAGAAATCGAAAAAATTATAGAGAAAAGAGAAAAAAAAGAAAAAAGAAAGGCGAAGTACCGAGTAAACGAAGCCAAATATTAAAAGACGGTGTAGATGATGTAGTAGTAGTAGTAGTAATTATTTAAATAATCAAATTAATCAATCCGAGTATGTTTGAAAAAGAGTACCAGACTATAGTCATTTTGTTTGAAAAAATTTTTGTAAAGAAAGCGAGAGTATTTAGTAGTGAGATGGAATTAAAAAAAAAGTCAAAATTCAGTTTGAGATTATGTTATTCAAAAACATCAAACAAGAAACAAAACAGAACAAAAAAATAAAAAGGTGTGAAGGCCAATCACCTTCTTCTTAAGAGCGAGTAAAAAGCACTTACAATAATTCAACAATAAAGAATTTAAAGTTTTTTTTTGTGGAACTCGATTGATTTTGGAATGCAATAATTAAAAGAGCTTGGCGAACACTTTTGTCTATATGATGGAAATTGTTCAAAGATTTAGGGTCAAATTTTTCGAATACACCCAAAGTGTGGTAGTGTAAAAGTTCAAATGTAAGTAGTGGTGGTGGTGGTGGTAGTAGTGGTAGTAGTAGTAGTAGTAGTAGTAGTAGTGGGAGGATAATGAGGATGAGGTGGTGATAGAGGAAATAGATAGTCACACGCAGAGAAAGAAGTTAACGTTAGAAGAAGCAAAAAAAATAAAATAAGGAAAAATGTCTTTAAAAAACCAAGAATCTAATATAATAATAAAATAATATAATTCCTCAAGAATTTACCAAGTAAAGAAAACGTTGGCATATCAAAGAATAGAAATAAATAATAATGATAAAAACCCGGCAACACAAAACGTAAAAGCGAAACAAACTAACAGAAACACGTCGTTTCTAAAGGTGTTGACACCTAAATAATATTTTTTATCTTTATCGTCATCTCGGCACACAGGAATGCAAGGCAAAGGACTAACTAACTATTCACTAGCCGTTCTTTCAATTCAAATTGAACAACCAACATTCTATAACACAAAAAAAAATACTTACAATCTCGAGCCTTGGAGAAGAGGAAAAGACCATGAAAACGTGGACCATTTACTTAAAAGAGTAAAGATATTGATGAGAGTTCTTTTTTATGGTTTAGAACTCTAGTTTTTGATAACAGAGGATAGAGCAAAGAACTGCTTCTGACGGATGAACGGCTAAAACCCAGAATAAAGTTCCCTTGTTACTGTTGCTGTACAAGAAAGTTGCCGGGTGTGTGTAAAATTTTTCTCCAAAGGTTATTTGATATACAGTATGTGTCTGTGTCACGGGAACCGAAAGAACAAATAAACGGCTTCGATTACTATCGATTGCGTCATTTGATCAGCCTTTAAGGAATTGTGATCGATTTACGGGCTTAGACATTTTTATTTTTTTTTGAATTGATCAGATTTTCGTCTAGACTTTTGATCTTTTAACAGCAATAATAATGTCTAACGACGCGGACTTTATCTATGTCGACGAAGCTCAAGGCTCCGACGACACTGGTCTGGGAACGAAAGAGCATGCATACAAGACCGCGGTTTTTGCAATTCAAAAACATGGCGAGAATATCAAAATTCAGCTTCGAAAAACTTCAGAAGAAGAGTATAAAGATATATCAGGGGCTGCTTTCAAAAAAGCCAAAAACCATGTTTTAGTATTAGCAAAAAAGGCTCAAAAAGCCGAAGAGCAAGCAAAAGCAAAAGAAAAAAAAGAGCGCGAGTTAGCAGAAGCTGAGCAAAAGAAAATTGAGGAGTCTAAAAAAATCGTCTTGACACAGGATTCGACGCTTCCCGAGGCTAAAAAGGTTTTTTCGCGAAAAATCTAATTGAAACGATTTATTTGAAAAATATATGTTTGTTAATATTGGACGAATTCAAAATTCTCTCGGTACAGATCAAGATCCGTGAAAGTATTAATAGACGTGATACACGTGTTAAAATCTCTGGATGGGTTCATCGTATTCGTATACAAGGCAAAGATATGATGTTTATTGTGTTGCGTGACGGAAGTGGATATATACAATGTTATTTGCATGGTGTTTTGGTAAGCTGGCACGATTACTTGTTATCAACTAAATAACCAATCGTTCTTAAATCGCGTCACATTTGGACAGTCAGTCAAGTCAGATGTCATTTTTTCAAAATCTTAGTGCCATACGTATGATGCGATAACATTAACCCTCGAATCCACCATCACTGTCTATGGTATAATTTCTGAATTACCAGAAGGAAAACAAGTAAGAAGCTTAAATAGATTCATCCTAACTCGATACTCAGAAAGATCTATGAATATTATTAGGCGCCAGATAATCATGAACTTCGCGTTGATTATTGGGAATTAGTTCATAAAGCACCGGGAGGTGACGAAGCATTCACCAATCAAATTACCACCGAAACTGATCCTTCCGTGTTACTCGATAGAAGGCACTTGGTCATTCGCGGAGAAAAAGCCTCGGCAGTTTTGCGAGTTCGTTCTGCGGTCTTGCGAGCTTTCCGGGATCATTTTTATTCGAAAGGATACGCAGAAGTAACTCCGCCACATATGGTCCAGACTCAAGTAGAAGGTGGCTCTACTCTTTTTGAATTAGCTTATTATCACGAGAAGGTTGATTATAAAGTTATTCACAATTTTATTATTCAATATTTGTAGATTAATATATTATTTATACTCTTGGAAAATTAATAGGCTTACCTTACACAATCAAGTCAACTTTATCTTGAAACATGCCTTCCATCTCTAGGGGATGTGTTTGCTATTGCGGAGTCTTTTCGTGCAGAGAAAAGTCACACTCGGCGTCATTTATCAGAGTAATATTATTATTTATTCATTCTAACTCTGATTCTTAAACGATATTAAAAACCTAATAGCCACATTTCAATTAAAGGTATTCACATCTAGAAGCCGAAATGGCATTTATAACTTTCGATGACCTGCTAGACTGTTTAGAAGATCTGATTTGCGACACCATCGATCGCGTACTATCAGACAAATCAATAGCCGATCTCATATATTCTTTAAACAAGGACTTTAAGAAACCCGAACGACCTTTTCTCCGTCTCGACTACAAAGACGCGATTCAATATTTGAAAGACAATGACATTAAAAAACCAGATGGAACATTCTACGAGTTTGGCGAAGATATTCCGGAAGCGCCCGAGCGTGTAATGACTGATAAACTTAATCGGCCTATTTTCTTGTGCCGGTTTCCGGCGGAGATTAAGGCGTTCTATATGAAAAGGTGTAAAGATGATCCGAGGGTTACTGAGAGTGTGGATGTGTTAATGCCGAATGTTGGAGAAATTGTAGGCGGGAGTATGAGGATTACAGATTTGGTGCGTATGTTTTTTATTTATTTAATATTAATGATAGAACAATAGTACTTTATTGAGTAATGCTATTATGAATATCAATATTTTATAGGATGAGCTTCTTCGCGGTTATCAACGTGAAGGTAACTATTGAATGCAATTCTTTAGATTCAATTTGGCGAAGAACATTAATAATCTAACATCGTATCATAATAGGAATTGATCCTGCTCCGTATTACTGGTATACAGATCAACGTAAATACGGTACCACTGAGCATGGTGGATATGGATTAGGCGTTGAACGATTTTTAGCATGGATGTTAGATCGTCATACCGTCAGAGATTGTTGTCTTTACCCCCGATTTACAGAAAGATGCAAGCCCTAAAAGAAAGACTACAAGACATTTTATATATACTCCTATTATTTATATAATTGATTTACCAATTAAAAATTCACGACTCATTTTTTGATGTCATAAACATGTAATCATATCGATATGTAATTATGCTAATAGATGATCAATGAAAAATGACTAAAATAAATTGTAGATCCAATTCTATTTAAAACCACGCGCGTTATTCAACCCCCATTTTTTTATCTATTAAAACAAAAACCAAACGATGGAGGATTCTACTGAAATAGTTAAGGAAAATCGAGCGTCGTCGTCAAGTTCAACAACCGCTACTACACCATTTGATGACTTCGATGGAATAAATCCCGCATATGATCTAAACGACTCCGAAGCTACTATGTTCCTTAAAAAGATTCGTGATATTGATGGTGCATTACATTATCGAGAAAAAGAGGCGGAAAATGATAATCAAGAGGAACAGGATGATGATAACGAAGAAATTGATGATGATGACGATGAAGAATTCTCTAACACTTATAATAATGCTCAGCGATTAGTATCAAGTTTTGAGGATGAAGACGAAGAAAAAGAGTCGTCAAGATTTGTGACTACAATTCACGAGCCAATTGTTGAAGCTGATTCTGATATAGTAAAGATTTTGGTGTCTCATAAACGCAGTAGTGGTGATTATTCTCGTATTAATTATTTAGAAATGTCGACCGATAGCAAATCATTGCAATCACCACCGCAACAATCAAAAAAAAGAACATTTATGTTAGCTACCGATCTCTCATCTGAGAGTTTATATGCTTTTGAGTGGGCGGTGAAGAATGTTTTGCGACCGGAAAGTGAATTATATATTGTTAGCGTGTTAGAGGAAGATAAACCTGTATCTGGTAATTAGATCTCTCGTTAATTATTTGGCGTTCGAAGAATTAGTGTCTTTTAAAAAAAATTGTGATTAACTATATGTAATTCTCTTATCCTTCCCCTAAAAACTATTTATTTAGGTACTTCGAATTCAATATCATCACCGAATAGTTCTCAGACAATCATTAATGAGGTTTGTATTGGTTTATTTAAGTTTGCGGGGAAAGAAATTTGAATCCTTCGTAACTTTATTGTCGATTTTCTATGATTAATAGAGATTGGAGGTAGCTCAAAAAATAGCTAAAGTGACGCGCACATTTTTGGATAATACGCGATTTCCCGTGTCTCTAGAAATTCAAGTTGTCACTGCGAAAAGCACACGGACTATGCTTACGAATATGGTAAATAATTTAATACTGGATGTGTTTCTTTTTTAATAATGATTTCTTACAATGCTACTACTATTATGATAAAAGATTGATCTAATCAAACCAACATTGGTAATTGCCGGCAGCCGAGGACTAAGCTCTATCAAAGGGTAAATTTTTCTATATATACTATTTTATTGTACTATTAATATTATGTGTTTCGAATTATTGAATATGTCATTTATGAACTATTTCTATATATTAAATAGCATGTTTCTTGGAAGTATAAGTACATATCTAGTACAAAATTCCTCGGTCCCAGTAATGGTCGCTCGACAACACACCGAACCTAAACGTAAAAAACGAAGTGCTGACAAGAAAAAAGACGAAAAGCTTTCTTTGATTGAACTTCGTGAGTCTGTGAAAAAATTAGAGTATGCTGGTCTTGAAGAGATATAATAGATATATATGTGTATTTGTATTTTTATTTGACATGTATGAAAATATGTATTTCTAATGTATTATGAGACATTCTGTAATAAAACAAACCAGAAAAAGAATTTCTAAATCACTTACGTTCATATTCATTCTTCACGAATGGGAGAACCAAGTTTGGTGTCACGGCTGTAAAAAGATTGGTTGCAAGGTTTTACCTGGCGTGTTCGGCTTATGGCGATAGCAATGAAGGGGCTGGTGATCAGCAGCTAGAATAACAAATGCTCAGATAAAGCAATGTTTGCAGCTGCATTTGCGTCTCTCCCCCGTGTTGTAATCACCGGGCACCGGGGATGGACGCATTCGATCGTATCATTTAAGCAATAGGTTGTTTCCTTCCATGACGGATCTGACTGAGCAGTATGAGCATGTTTTGGAGATGCAATACCAACACATCCATAGATGCTAATTCCTTCATGCCTCATCGAAAATAATGCTGTTTATGCCCCAATACAATGAATCACTGCTTGCTGGAAGAGAGCTGGGCATGCGCACGAATGAGTCTCCGTTCTTGTGTTGTGATTTTACTATACACCCATCCAGATACATGGCTTCACAGAGATGAAATTTCTATCCTTCGTTTATCGATCTGGCGACTAAACATCCACTTGATTTGTCCTTGATAGTCGTCACGGGATAATATGGCCTTGTTCATTGGTAGTGGAGAGGGCGACAACGAATTTAGTACATCCATTTTCCCTTCACTGTTATTGTCGGAGACAGCTTGATTATCTAGCCACAGCTTTCAACAAATGCTCTGTTAGCAAATTATTCAAAAGGACGAATATATATTGGGAGCCCTTACCTGTCGATACGATTCCATACATTACGTCCTTTATCTTTTATATAATTCTAACCTTTCAACCTCTCTGACTAATCTAACTCTTGCAAGCTTTGCGTCTCGTAGGCTCAATTTTAGTGTTGCATGCTTGAACATTTCAGAGTTGGATTTGTTAAATTCGGATGTTTCAAAGGAATACTGGATAACAAAGTATTAGTACCAAAGAAGCTTATTTCATTATATCTGGATAGTAAAAGAAAAAAATCAGTCAGTAATTTCATTATCATAAACAAGTTCGTAATTGAGCACAAGGAATCCTCGTAATCTAAGCTATACAAATTCAAATTATTTCTTCTCTAGAGTTTTTGTCAGTCAATTCTTTAATTAATAACAAAATTATCATGTCATGAATGAAATGTTTTAGTTCTGTTATTAATTATTCTGTATTCTTATTATCCTAATAAATTTAAAATATAATTATGTAATTTATTTTATAATTAATATTCTTAGTATTTATTCAACTTTTAATATTATAATGATAAAATATTTCAGATAATTTTAAGCATATACTGATATATTTTTAGCTTGAATTATTCTTCTATAATAGTTAATATAAAAGTTCTAAAAATTCTTATTTTTTAAGAAGTTATATCTAAAAACTTCTTGTTCTTAAAAGTATTATTATTTCTGATTATTTTACTAAATTCTAATTCAGATTTTGCTTATAATGTTAATAAGCCGTTTATATAATTCTCACATATTTATCTCAAGATTTAGGTTTATTATACTTATTATAATTATAATATAATAATATTTTATTTATTATAATATTGTAATTTAAAATTATTAAAATTATAATTAGTTATAATTTAGTAATACTTATTTATTATAATATTATAATAATTGAAAAGTTGTTTTTAATCACATTTATAATTTTAATATTTTTGTATAAAATTATCTGACTTGATAATTTTAATATATTTACTTTTAATATAATAAATATCTTTATTAATTTATATTATTATATGAATAAACTTCATATAATTTAAATATATTATTATATTAATCTTTTGAATTCTAAATTTATAGTAATCATGATTAGCTAGTTTAGAATTTTTAAATTTATTAAATAAATAATATATATAATATATATTTCTTTTCTTTTCAAAAATTAGCTCTTATAAAAAAACTCTAATTTAAATAATAAAGTTTTATTAAATTAAATAATTGATAAAATATTATATTATCTTTTAGTCTCAAAGAGTTTATCAAAGAATTATTGATAATTATTAATATTATAATAATTTAGAATATATAAATTAATATACCTCATATCATATTCTAATCTATTATTAATAGATTTTTATAATTTAGCTTTTTTATTAATATTAAGATCTGATATATTTAATAATATATAAATCTATATAAAAATATATTATAATCATATAATAATAATAATAAACTAGTTAAATATTTATATAAATTGAATATAAATTTTTATAAGATTATTAAGTTATATAATACTCAAGTTATATTCTAATATAATAACTTTTTATTAATTAATCTATTTTAATTTATTAAAAATTTATAATATTTTTTAATTTAGTGAAAATAACATAATTATGTTATTTTTACTTAGTCTAAGTTATGTATGATGATGAGATTATATATATGTCATTATTCAAGTGATGATTAGTTTATGAGTTCATCATCATACTTAGATATCTGTGATCTATAAAAAAAATATAACAACAAATTTATGTTCACGTCATTACATTTGGATACTCACAACCTATAAAAAATATAATGACAATTTTATGTTCATATCATTATATTTCTAGTGTTATCAAGTTTGTTATATACATACTATATATATGTTATCTGGACATGCTATTTAGGTTATGGCGCTCTAGCCTAGTCCTTCTGTATTTTTTATTATAACCCAAATTTGATAACATTATCTGTATACCAGTTTGATGATCATGACTGAGATATTAAATCATATTAGTAAAAAAATATATCAATGATAAATTCAATTATATATCATCATTTGCTGACCTAATGTTACCTACCTATTACTATCAAGTATACTATCAAGCATATATGCACAATTACTATCAATATATACATCATCAATATTATCAGAGAATACTATCAAGTATGTGTTGTGTAATTACTATAAAGTATGTTATATTTCTGCTATCGGATATACTATACACATGCTATCAAATATATATCACATAATTGCTATTGAGTATGCTATATATATATTATTAGATATGCTATCTGTTACTGAAAAATCTTTGGTAACAGCTTTGATGACAACTTTAATGATGGGTTTATTATTAAATTTCAGTTTCAAATGAGAATATATCCAAAAGCATATCACTAAAATGGGTAGTCTTCTCCTATAATTATTGTGACAGATTAAAATGAAACAGGATTAAAATGAAATGATGATCTTTTTTTATTGTCATATGAAATGTGTGATCTTGGAATTTTATTAATCAAAATTAATAGTTTTTTACATATTATAATTTATATAATATTAATGCTAATACTATAAAATATTAATTATATAATTTGCATTATCAATAGTTAATTAGTAGATTAGTGATGAGTGAATGGGAACTAAACACGTAATATTAATTTGATATCATAAATGGCAATTTTCTCATCAAGATTTTTTGCATTTTGCTAAAGCTTTTTGGCATGTTGGAGTAGGTTAGGACTCTGGCTCTTGCTATTTAGTAGTTTCAAGATTCTTGCTCCGGTTAGTCAGATTCTTATTGTCAATCAAGATTAAGTTCACTGGTATGTTTGTAGGCAAGAACTGATATTAAAGATGAAACCTGAGTCATATAAAAGTTAGAATATTTTGTAGATGGAAGTTAATATTAATGTTATGAGCAAAGCTAATATTAGTATGTAAAAGTCTGGACAAAATCTTTAATATACAAGATGTATGAAATATATAGTATATATGGTATATGCAAAAGGAAATATTTTTTTGGACAAGTAAAAAATTCTTCTTTTTATAAATATCTGATATAGCATTTTCACGTGCTAGATAAACACAAAATTATGTTTACTTATCTGAAAAAAATTTTGTCTTTTCTCACCTTCTTAAACTTAAGCTTACCTAACTTACTATGTAAACAGATTTATGCATCCTTCCAAATTCACACACCTTTCCCAATTCAATTGGATCTTTTTAAATTTGCATGCCTTTTCCAATTCAATTATGTTTCTAAATTTACATACTCTTTTCAAATTCTCATCTCTTTACCAAACTGTCAAAATTATTTACTATCTTCTAATATGATAAAACTTCTAAAGATGCTGGATATACCTAAGGATTTTGATGATATTATTACCTATATTCAGTCTGGTACGCTCCCTGTCAAGTGTAATGACTAAGTAAAAGTGACAAATTTTTGAAGAAGATGCAAGAACTTTATATATGATACTCAAACTGATTATCTTTTCTATGTTTAACCTTCAAAAAATGAAAATTCACTATCTATCAAGAAAAAAGTCATTCCCATTTACAATACTGAGTTAAAAGAAGCTCTTTTCAAAAAGTTTCACATTGGCAGAGCACACTTTAATTATCATAAAATCTATAAGATGTTCTATGAATAACATATTAGTATTATGTAAGAAGAAGTCAGGAAGTATATAAGAAATTGTCCTATCTGTATCTGAAATATTAGTATCAAGAAAAAAGCAGACTTAATATCTATTATAGCTGATAGTCCCCTTGAACATGTACAGATTGATTTGGTCAATCTTCTTTTCTTTGCAGAATATAATGATGGATATAGTTACATCTTATAATAATTGATATATTTTTGTGGTATGTTTGGACTATTCTACTTTATGATAAAGGAGGTAATACGATCCATCAGAAATTGATAAAAATTTTTATGATTGTTAGTCCACCTAATAAACTTCAAGTTAATAATAGGTCAGAATTTATAACTAATATCCTAAAGTGAACATGCGAGATATTAAAGATTTTTATTTGTTTTATGTTTATCTTTTTTGTCAATCTTATTAATATTTTTTTAGATGCAACTTATTCATGACCATGCACATCACCCTCAGAGCCAGGACAAAATTGAAAGATTCAACTAAACATTTGGCCATCATTTAACCAAAATATTATAGGATGAAGTTTCTGAAGTTCAAGAATATTGGTAGATTGACATTCTTCAAACATTTGTAATTATCTACAATAAGACATCTCATAGCATACATGATAAATCACCCTATGAAGCCTTTTTTGATTTCAAAATATGAGGTGTTTATAGTACTCTGGGTGAAACAGTTATCAAAAAAAATGTCTAAGTCTAAGCCAAGGAGAACCAGAATGACCAACAAGTCCAAGTCAAGAGAGACCAATTTGAAAACTATAATCATCAAGATCAGGCTGAAAACAAAATGTTCAAGAAGAATAATAGCCAAGTTATAATTAATACGTCAGATAAAATAATTATTAAAGTTATTCAAGATAATTTTCAAAGTATTATTCAAGGGAAAGATAGCCAAATTGCATATAAAGTCCACATAATGCAAGTAGAAAAAGTGCAAAAGGAGATTGCAAAAAATGATGAATGATATCAGAACAAAATGATTATTCAAAGAAGTATTCATCAAAAAAGGTTAGTCTTTAAATCAGGAGATAAAGTCATTATTACCAGTGATCATGATACAAATCAAAAAACAAGAAAGTGAAAGTTAGAACAAATTTGTAGTACAAGTGAAGAAGTGGTTGCTATGTGTAGTAATAATAGAACTGTAAGACTAAGAGTAAATGGAAAAGTAAAGACTTTTGCAGCAAAGAATTTAAGAAAGCTTTTGCAAAACTAAAATCAATTGGATAGGCTAGACAAACAAGGCAATACAAAATTTAAAACTTTTAAATTAAACTATATTTTGCATTTATTACATTAAAATTATTAAAGATAAAACTACTGATAATGTAAATTACATAATTAATATTTCGTAGCATTAGCATTAATATTATGTAAATTATAACAT